TGCGACAATATATTATATTAATTAGTATAAAGCATTTCTTTTATTTAATATTACGAGAACAATAAAATGTATATCGCTACAAGAACAATACATAAAATTATATTTATATATAAAATAGGTTTACTTGATTTTTTGTTTCCTATGTATATAATGTTTATAATGAAAATTAAATTGTAAAAATATGGTGTATCTTGAAACACGGATAAAGTTCGTAAAATATTTTTTCTTCTTTATCCATGCGACGTTCAAGAATAATAACTGTACTATTTTATGCAATGTTGTTACAATTTGTAACCATATTTCTGTATCCAACTCAATCCTTTGACCGAAGATGATTTTGGACGATATTCCAATCCAACATATCCATTGTACCCTTCCATTTCTAAGATAGAAAGTACGTATTTGTAGTTTATTTCCCCAGGTGTGTCAGGCTCGTTTCTATCTGGTACTTGAGCGATTTGTACATGGCCTGCAGATAAAAGAAACGAAAATGAAAGATTGAATGATTTATACAAGAACCATTTATTTAAGACTCGATTATTTAAAAATTTTCAAATAAACATATACCTATGTAAGGCATTAATTCTTTAATAGTTTTCGTAATGCTTCCAGAAATCTGTTGCAGGTGAAAAACATCGAGTAGTAACTTTAAATTCGGGCTATTTATCTTCTTCACTATGTTTAAACCTGAATAAAACTTTTATATTAACAATAGAAGAATCTTCATTATTATTTTAGGCATCTTTTTATTATACATATAATCATACATACATACCTTTTTCAAAACTATTCATGTAATAATTTGGAGCAGCAGCGCTACTAATAGGTTCAACAAGACCCACAATTTCTTCTGTTTTAAATTTCTCGACTGCATATAAAAGATTGTTTTCGTAGGCGTTGTCGTTAGCGGATGTTGGCTTATTCACATTACCAGACATTACATGAATTCTGACGGAGTTAAGCAGAAAATAAATTAGAAGTCAAAAATATATATAGTGGAACATTGTGATTATTTTTGCTTAGTATAAATAAAATTTTGTTACTTTTTGCAGTTCAATGCTTTTGCATATTCTATTGTTGTGTTAATGCTCTTCTTGAAATTCTCTTCCTGTCCAGGAATTGCAGCGTATCCTAATTCTCCTTTTGACGTATCACCTATTACAATAAAAATTTCTTAATAAGATCTTTATGAATATCATTTTCAGAATACTTTCCCTTACATTAATCATAACCTGTGTATACCTGTATAAACATTTATGAGAATTTGTTCCACATCAGCACTTCTTTTAGCCTCTAATATATCTTTAATAGGGAAGTTAAGAGGGAAACCACTTTCCACAGCTTTAAAACCAGCATCTTTAGCTAATTTGTATCTTTCCTTGATAGATGATGTTTCGTTAAACATGAAAGACAAGTTGCTAGCAAACTTAAGACTCATGTTGATGTATACTTTCTTTTCAAAGTTTCACAACTGTGAATGTACAACAAAAACAGTATTATTTTGTAGAAGCAATACTTATATAAGTTGCTTTATCTCTTTCAAATATATAATAAGTCACTATCATACAGCTAGATAAGAATTATATCTTGCTTTTTTAATATCTCTATCAACTACTCAATCTTTAATGTATACACAACCTCACAATCACACTTTTTCTTTAATTCTGTGTAACATACTTAATTGTATAATAAAAACTTCGAA